ACTAACCGAATCATCGAGAATCCACATCCGAGCCCTCTAACTCATAGGTCAACATCCGGTTGACTTTTTCAAACAAGCCCTCCTTAAAGAGACTAAGTGTCTCATTTCCTTCCAAAAATCAACGCCAATTCAACTCGTTCACACAAGACACTGATAATGAACATAACGAAGCAGGAAATGGGAAACGGAGCGGTTCTCATGAGACGACAGGTCGGGTCGTCACATCTCCCCAACTTAAACAAACGCTCGCCCTCGAGCGTGCCCAGAGTTGTCCTAGAAGCCAACCAATAGCTGAATGACCTTACCAAGCATATACCCGGGGTGATCCCACGTCACCACTATCTCGCATAGGTCGATAACACAACATAGCTGAAATTTCACAATCCATAGTACCATAAAACCATAGAACCACATTGGCTTTCCGAAATCATACACAAGATCAAACCTCACATCTATACTCAGAATAAGCACCAAACGAGCTGTAATAACCCATACCTGCAACCTCAGTGCAATCATATGATATACTAACATAACCCAAACACTCGAAACGATAACTCTATTCACAGCAGTTGCCCACGACACCCGAAATCTCTCTCTTTCGGGGGATGATTTGTGACTTAGGAGTGTGATCGGAAGTGATTTTGGAGGTCCGGTGTAGAATTAGGCTTGAATTGGCGAAATTAGTATTTTGGCGAATTCCGGTTGATAGGTGAGATTTTGATCCGAGGGTCGGAATGGAATTCCGAGAGTTGCTGTAGCTTCGTTAGGTGATTTGGGATGTGTGTGCAAAATTTCAGGTTATTTGGAGGTGATTTGGTTGGGGTTTTGATCAAATGCGTGTCTCGGAAGTTTTAGAAGAACTTAGGCTTGAATCCGATGTAAATTTGGTGTTTTGATGTTAGTTTGGGTGTTTTGAGAGTGCAACTAAGTTTGAATGATCATATGTGACGTGCTATTATGTTCGTATGCGGCCCGAGGAGCTCGGGTGAGTTTCGGATAGGTTTGGACTGCGTTGTGCTCGTTTTTCTTATGCTTCGACGTCGTTTCTTCAAGCATAAATGATATCATATTGAACAAATGAGCTCCGATTACTGTTTCGAATGAAGCATTAGATCCGTATCGTAATTACAGACCCGTAGAAAAAAGAATCGTCAAATTTGGACATCGTATGAGGATTTTATGGCCATTTTACCAAGGTTGCCAGATTTTCAGGTTAATGACGAAATTGCCCCTGACGGCGTATTAAAAACCTGCACTATTTGCAAATCTTAAAACCTACATATCTCCTTCATTATAAGGTCAAATTGAGTGATTCAAAAGCCTAAATTCATTAGAATTTCACAAGGAATCCAGTGGGAGCAGTAAAACGCGTGATCAGCATACCTATAATGAGCAGGTCGAGTTTTCTTCCAATTTTTGAACGGGAAGAAGCTTCTGAGGCGATTTTTAAGAGATAAAATCAGTGGGTATCACAGAGGTAAGTGATTTGATTATTAAAACTCGTTTATGGGTGATTATAGACCATAATTCCAGCCTTTAATTCATGAAAAACAGTAGAAAAATAGAATTTTGGGGCCTGAGATTATGAGACCTTTAGGGGTCGATTTGAGGGGTCAAACGGACTCCGATTTTGGTGTTCTTTATATGTACGGAATCGGGAGAAGATGAAGAACACTTTTTTGTAAAAAATTTTGAGTTTAGAGAAGTGGGCCCGGGGCTCAGGTTTTGTCAATCTCGGGATTATTGATGTTTTTCGATTGGGTATTGATCCTATAGCATAATGTGACGTATTCGTTGTGGTTTTGGTCAGTTTCGACGCGCGAGGAGGTCTATTTGAGAGGCAAGGGCATAGCGAGCTAGGATTTTGGCCGGCTTGAGGTGAGTAATAGATGTAAATGCTGTTCTGAGGGTTTGAAACCCCGTGTTTGCACATTGTAGTGCTATGTTGAGGTGACTTGCACGCCGGATAACGGGCGTGGGGTAGAGCACCGTCGGGGATCGTGACTTGGTCCGTCCTGCTTAATAAAATTACTACCTAATTGATTGAAGCTTAGTAGATATCCTTATTAAAATGGATTAATTATCATAATTGGGCTTCGTGCCAACTGCTTGAATCCTTCAGGGATTGATTTTACTGGTTTCTTACCATATTTCCAGATAATTGAACTCAGTCCTAGTATTTAATACTGTTTTGCAAACTCAGCCACTTTTTCTCAAAACTTGGAACTTAAATAATATTTCTAATGAAGTTTGGGCTGAATATTTTATATGCTATTGTGCCCGAGGGGCTTATGTGATTCTGGACTGAGTGTGGGATCGAGCTGCGCGCCGCAACAGTATTATATTGATATTGATATGAGGCTTAGGGCCTAATGGATGCCACGAGATGGCTTGATATTGCGCTTGGGCCGTAAGGGGCCTCTCCCGGAGTCTGCACACCCTCAAGGAGCGCCGTCGACGATAAATAAATGGAGCGGGCTGCACGCCGCAGCGGGCACTGGAGAGTACCGGTCTATGTGTTGCATTGCATATTTGATTGTCATTTAATTATTTATCTGTTGTGGGATTTTGCATAATTGTTTTCACTAATTTTACTGATTTTATACTACTGGGTTCAAGTTGCTGTATTTATAGAATTACTTTGTGCCTATTCAGGATTTCTTATTCTCAGCCTTTATTTATGTTTATTACTCACTGGGTCGGAGTACTCACATTACTCCCTGCACCTTGCGTNGATCCAGGTACACCTGAGGTTGTGTGAGGACTTCTCTGCCTAGCATCATATCTGGAAGTTTCAAGGTAGCTTCATTTGACATTCGCAGTCCTGATCTTCCTTCTATCTTATTTGCTTTATTTCCGCATTTCTAGAGAACGATATGTAGTAGGTTGATACTCATGTATTAGAGGCTCAGACTTCTCTGAACTTGAGCTCTGGCATAGCTTTTGCGGCCGCACAATAATTGAGCGGTCCGCATTTTATTCTAAGGCTCTGTTGGATTTCCTTTGCATTTTGCAGCCGCGGAGGGAATTCTGTGGTCTGCACATTAGCCTTTTTGCCTGATTCTTGTTCTTCTGTTCAAATCACTCCTTCTTGAGTTGAATTTCATCTTTGTTGCCCATTTTCCAATACTCCTGCAATTAAATATTTCATCAATTTTTGGGAATATAATTGAGCATTTTGGACTAAAACGAAAGCTAGAAAGTGCTAATAAGTAGTCAAAATCCCCACTTATCATACCTTATGTTGGGGAAATGTGGTGAGGGAATAGTTTACTCTATATTAACAAAGATATCATGGAGTGGTGAACCCTGCACTTAAGATCAGATCAACTAGAGAGTGGTACCCTATGTTGGAAAATACAACTAGGGATTGGTGTACCCCTAAACTGGTAAGGAGACTGGGGAGTGATGACCCTATGTCTAAAATAACCTCAACTACGGAGTGGAGACCCTATGTTGGAAAAGGAGACTAGGGAGTGGTGAACCTGTGTCTAAAATAATATCAACTATGGAGTGGATACCCTATGTTGGAAAAGGAGACTAGGGAGTGGAGACCCTATGTCTAAAATATCATCAACTAGGGAATGGAGACTCTATTTCCAAAATAAATCAACTAGGGAGTGGACACCTTATGTTAGGAAAAGGAGACTAGGGAGTTAAGACCCTATGTCTAAAATAAAATCAACTAGGGAGTGGAGACCCTACGTTAGAAAGGAGACTAGGTAGTGGAGACCCTACGTTGGAAAAGAAAACTAGGGAGTGGAGACCCTATGTCTAAAATAACATCAACTATGGAGTGAAGACCCTATGTTGGAAAAGAGACTAGGGAGTGGAGACCCTATGTCTAAAATAAAATCAACTAGGAGTGGAGACCCTATGTTGGAAAAGAGACTAGGGAGTGGAGACCATATGTCTAAAATAAAATCAGCTAGGAAGTGGAGACCCTATGTTGGAAAAGAAGACTAGGGAGTGGAGGCCCTATGTCTAAAATAACATCAACTAGGGAGTGGAGACCCTATGTTGGAAAAGGAGACTAGGGAGTGGCGACCCTATATCTAAAATAACATCAACTAGGGCGTGGAGAACCTACATTGGAAAATGCAGCTAGGGAGTGGAGACCCTATACCACCATCATTTTGAACTTTCTTTCTTTCTTTCTTCTTTTTATTAAGAGAATGAGTAAAATGCTGGAAAGAATTTGGAGAAGACTTCCCTTTTTTGGAGTTGTTGCTGCTGTAGAGCTATTTTAGTCTGTGCGCAGTTTCTTTTTGGTTGCACCTGCTTCTTGCAAGGTTGCTTTGGATTGCACCTGTTTCCTGCTTTTCAAATAAAGAACAATTTGTCAGTTTAAAATGGTGGTTGGTTTTGTGGCCTTGAATGTTTCAGTCACTTGATCTCGGCCCGACTTCTTTGATGATACTTTCAACTGCAACTGGTTGTTTCCTGAATACCAATTGCAATTTTGGCCCCTGAGAACCTTTTGCTTTTCCTAAACTTTGCCATGACAATTGGTCGCGTGGCACTTAACCTTTTCAACTTTATTTGCCCTTGTAGGCCTTTGACTTCTTTCTTCCAATTTTAACTTCAGAGCATTGGGAAACCTTTGGCTTTTCAAACTTTGTCATGACGGTTGGTCGCATGGGACTTAACCTTTTAAACTTCATTTTGCCCTTGTAAGCACTTCAATTCGGTTTCTTCCTTCCAAGAGTTTTTGATTTCAAAGCATCGATCGTCATGGCCAGTCGAGGTTGACTTGATCCCCCTACCGAGGTTGTGTGCCTTTTTTACGTATTAGCTTGTATCAAATGAGAGCCCTGTAAATCAGTCTTGCCATCCCTTCTTTGCCATAGTTTTGGAACAAAGTTAGACTGAAAGAGATCTAAAGAAAAACAAATAATAGAATGGACAATGAGTTTAACAAAAGGTGTCCCTTTCGGGAACGGAAGGAAGGACTTATCTGAGAGTACATGTGGACTTAAATGAACATGACATGCCTTTTGGACTGGATGCCTGATCTGTGTAAATCGCCGACTCTCAAAAACTCATTGCAACTTTGCCTCGGAACCGGGAAACCTTGCCCAGGACTATGTCAATGCCGATGGCTGTGATGATCCTCTTTTTGATCAGTGGCGCCCTTTGCGGGTTTTCACCAGCTGACCTCTCTCATTTCTCTTCTCACCATCTCCTTATAGTGCTCTTTGCGAGTTTTCACTAACAAGACTCTCTCATTTCAGTTTCTTTACTCCCCATCGTCTTATGGTGCCCGTGAGGGTTTTCACCAACAAGACTCTCTCATTTTATTTTTCTCATTTGGTTGTATCAGATCCAAGTGACTGTATCCTCCAATTCTTAAACAGTCTTGCCGATTGGTCAGAAGGACTTGAAAAGGATTTGGGTAAAAAGAAATTGGATTGAATTACAACTTTGGAACCTTTCAGGCGAAACCATCGCCGAACCATTGTAACATCTGCCCCAGTTTCAACTTTTGGGTGAATGTGGATTTTTGTTTTGGTGTGACTGAACCCCAGAGAGGGCCTGCCTACGTATCCTTTCGGAATCAAGTTGAACGTAGTTCAATCACGTGAACTCTGTTTTTGATTTTCTTTTGTTTTGTTTTCTTTTTCCTTTTTTTCCTTTTTTTTTTCATTTTTCATTTCATTTTCTTTTGTTCTTTTTTTTCATAGGACTTTCAGGTTCCAAAAAGGATAATCAAAGAAAGGTAACCGACTCAAAGGGTTGGCAAAAGGGTTAATGGTGTTTGAGTAGTGAGAATGAAAGCCTTCTTCATCTTAACCGGAGAACATTAATGTTATATAGAGGACCCAACATAGTACCTTTTGATTGCACCTGCGTTGACAGTTGTTTCAGAGACATTTCCTTCAATGTTTCTCAGGACAACGCTCTCTTTTGGCAGTACTCTTGTTGTAATGTATGGACCTTTCCAATCTGGAGCAGATTTTCCTTTAGTTGTTCCTAGTTTTTATTTTATTAAACTTATCTTCATTGCATTCTGATTCTTGATTCATTATTTCGCGGTTGACAGTGTTTTAGGATCTGGGCATGAAGTCGGCAAGCATGTCATGTTATTAAAATCCGTATTTAACAGAAGTGAAAAAAGAATAAGAGAAGTGGAAAAGTCAAGAAAAGAGACATAGAGGATGAAATATTGATTTCCTTTATTTGAATTTTAAAGATATAAGGGTTTACATCAGAAAGTAAGACAATAAAAGTAAAACATCCGGATTACACCCTGAAATAATCCGGACGGAGAAAGGATAGCAAGACCGGCTACCAGGACTCCCGTACGATAGGGAACTTTCAGGTTTGGCGACCGTTTTTTGGCTTTTCTTCTATCTCGACAATGGATGCAATGGCATTCGATGCTGGATCAAATTCCCCATCATTACAGATCATTCCAACGACTGGCCCGTTGTTGTGATTAGGCAAGGGATTATTTGTTACATTACGAGCCTCTTCATCCCTAAGAACGATTCTTTTAGCTTTAATCAAGTCTTTAACTGCCCTTTTGAGGGTCCAACAGTATTCTGTATCATGTCCCACTGCTCCAGAGTGGTATTCACATCTAGCATCAGCTCGGTAGGAGGGGGACTCAGGGTTCGGCCGGTTCGGGGCCACTGACTGCAGCAGACCTAGCCTGATTAGCTTTTGAAACAAACTTGAATGTGATTCACCAATAGGAGTGAACTGATTCTTTATGAGAGGCTCTCTTGGGTGAGGATTGTATTGGGGAACATTTGGTTGGGGATTATATGGATCTTGGTAGGGACGGGCATTTCTGGGAGGTAGAGCTCAGTTTTGTGTATAATGTTTTTGTCGCGTATAAGGTTGCACGTTCATCACTGCATAGGGAGGTGGTGCTACGGCATTGGTAGCATCTTGATGGGGATAATAATGTTGTAGGACCTTAGATAGCATATATGATTGGTTGAATGACCTGCGGGACTCCCTCGAGCTCGAAGCCATCACGACTCCCTCTTTACTCATGTTTCTGTTTATCAAACCCCCCGAACCATTTTGAACAGCCTGTGATGTGGCCTCAAAGGCAGCATGACTCAAGATTCGGCCCGTTTTTAAACTATTTTCGACCATCTCCCCAATTTTGATAGCCTTAGCGAATGGTTTACCCATAACGAACATCATATTCTGGAAGTACTCCGCCTCTTGGGCCTATAAGAAGGCCGTAACCATTTCTTCTTTGTCCATTGGGGGTTTTACCCTGACGGCTTGCTCACGCCATTTGACGGTATATTTGCGGAGACTTTTCGCGATTTTCTTCTTCAAATTGGACAAGGAGTTTCTGTCGGGAGCGATGTCCACATTATACTGGAATTTTCGGACAAAATCTTAGGCCAAATCGTCCCACACATACCAACGGGTGATTTTTTGATCTACGTACCACTCAGAAGCAATTCCGCTTAGGCTTTCTCTGAAGTAGGCCATCAGAAGCTCTTCTTTTCCACCAGCCCCTCTCAGCTAATTGCAGTATCTCTTTAAATGGATGATCGGGTCTCCGTGCCCGTTGTATTTTTCAAATTTTGGCATTTTGAAACCAGTTGGCATATGAACGTTTGAAAACATGCACAAGTCCAAGTAGGAGACTTTTTTGGCCACTTAGGCCTTGCATGTTCTTCAAACTCCGTTCCAAGCTTTTCATTTTCTGAGCCATTTCTTCCTGCTCGGGATTTTTAAATGCTCTTTTTGGTTCAATTGAAAACTCATATTGTGGTTGTTGGGGATACGAATCCGGGGTGACATGAGTCATATCATGATGAAATTACGGACCTTGGAAGGTGAATGTTGGGGGTTCAAAGCATGGACTGGATGCAGTTGGTTGTGCCATGGTGAAAACCGATGGTGCGGAGAACAATGTTGAAGGTGCCCCGAAAAATGGTGCTTGGGGTCGAACCACAGAAGGCATACCGGTAAAGTCGAATGATATTGTGGGGTATCTATACGGGAAAAATGGGTGGGTCATAGGAATTTTGGTGGTTCCACGCGTCCTTGGGATCAGCTCGGGGAATCTGGGAATTGCACTTGGCGGTTCCATACCATTAGACCAGGTATCCCACATTTC